GATTTAACATATTGGAAGGTCAGGTTGAAGAATTCTAGAAGGCGTTATGAAGGGATAAAGAGGTGAAAGATAATAGAAGAAAAGTGCTATGGAGAATGGGAGTAGAAATGTCAATATCCATATAATAGCAGTTTCAGAAGCAGAGAGGAAATGATGGGAGCAAGGGGAAGAAAAAGTTAGAAGATATATTGACTGGGGGTTTCTCAGTAAACATAGAATTATGAATGATCCTAAAGAATGCTAAACACAACAGATAAAAGAAAGCCTGTACCTGGACACATCAGAGTGAAATTTTTTTTTTTTTAATAATTTTATTTATTTATTTATTTTCCCTCAAAGCCCCAGTAGATAGTTGTATGTCACAGATGCACATCTTTCTAGTTGCTGTACGTGGGACGCAGCCTCAGCATGGTCGGAGAAGCGGTGCGTTGGTGCACGCCCGGGATTGAACCCCGGCCGCCAGCAGCGGAGCGCGCGCACTTAACCGCTAAGCCACGGGGCCGGCCCAGAGTGAAATTTGACAACAAAGATGTAGAGAAAATTCCAAAACTTTTTGAAAGAAAAAGTCAAAAAGAAATAAGTAGATTAATATCAAACTTCTCAACATCAAGAATGGATCTAAGAGATACTTGTTTAGTGTCTAAATGACTTTAAAACTAGAATTTTATATCCTGCTAAACTATTGACCTTAGGAGGTTTTCCACACACAGCTGCTCTCTGAAAACCTCTTGGAAGAAGCACTGTTAGAGTCCAGGGGCAAGCAGTAAAATCCATAAGGTGTGAGGGAGAGTACACAACTAGTGAAGTGTTTGTTCTGTTGACTGGAAAAGCAAGGACTTTGTGACTTTGGAGTGAGCAAAGATTTGCTACACAAGACACAGCATAACACACCATAGAGGAAGAAATGGATAGAGTGGATGACTTTTAAATTAAGAACTTCTGTTCATCGAAGAGTAAAAAGGCAAGCCACAGAGTGAGAAAAGATATTTGCAATCCATATATCTGACAAATTACTTATATCCAGAATTTCAAAGAAACCCCTACAAGTCAATAAGAAAAAAATCAGACCACCCTATTAGGAAAAGGGGCCAAAAAACTTTTAACAGTCACATTACAAAAGTGGATATCCAGATGGTTAGTGAACATATCGAGAGGTGCTCAACCTCAGTAGTCATCCAGAAATGGCAAATTAAAACCACAGTGCATTGCTTCTGACACACCTACCAGAATGGCTAAATGAAAAAGATAGTACTAAGTGTTGTTGAGGTGTGGAATAGCCCGAATTGTTGGACTCTGCTGATGGGGCATATAAATGGGTACAGTGATTTTAGAAGATTTGGCAACAAGTACTAAGTGAAGAATTATATGCATATTCTACAACTCAGCAATCCACTCCTAGATATACAACCAAAAGAAATACATCCCATGTTCACTTAAATATGTATTCAAAGATGTTCATGACAGTACTGCCTGTCACAGTCAGAAGCTGAACCTAACCCAAATGTCCACCAGCAATAGAGTAGATAGATAAATTGTGGTGGAGGCACATCATGGAATTCTATACAAAGTCACAGCAGCCGCAACAACATCAAGTCTCAATAAGCAATGTTGAATGAGAGAAACAGGCACAGTACATGGCATACTATGTGATTCTCTTGATATAAAGCTTAAGAACAGGCAAAACAAGTCTTTGGGACTCAAGGTTATGATAGTGGTTAGCTTTGGGAAGAACTGTGATTTAGGGGTCATGAGGAGGACACCTAGGGGGCTGGTGCTGTCCTGTTTCTTGGTCTGGGTACTGGTTACATAGATGTATTCGCTTGGTAAAAATTTCTTGGTTCTTGTACTCGTGATTTATGTATTTCTCTATGTAATACTTCAATAAAAAGTTTAATAATAAGAAGAAGAAAAAAAGCAACCTAGATCAATAACAATTACAAAGGGTTCCTGGATCCAATTCCAATCTGTGTATGTGGAGGCTTCCCCATGCCAACAAGCAGTTGTTGGACACCAGCAAGGTGTCTGAGAATTTAACTCAATTCTGACACTATCTACCTGGAGATAGCATTAGATTCCATGGGTAAAGGGCTTGGTCCCACAAGGCTGCCCTCCACTTGAGATGCCAGTCGAAAGCCCAGGTTGGTACCTCTGCTCTTTACCGACCGGCTGCAAACTGGAGGTTCCAACAAACAGGTTCCAATGACCTCCTTCAACTCAGGATGCCAGTCACAAGTCCAGGTTGTTACTACTTCTGACCAACTGGCTATAAATTAGAGGTTCCTAAGACCCCCTCGTCGAATTTGATTAATTTGCTAGAGTGCTCACAGAACTCAAGAAAACCCGTTTACTCACTAGATTACTCATTTATTACAAAGGATGCTAACAGATATGAATCAACAGCCAGATGAAGAGATAGGTAGGGTGAGGTCCCGAGCAAAGGAGCTTCTGTCCTCGTGGAGCTTGGAGCTCCGCACAGTGACACATGGAAATGTTCTGGTTCTCCAATGTGGAAGTTGTCAGAAAGAAGGATCAATGAGCTGTCTTTTTGGTTTTTTATTTTTTTATTTTTATTTTTTTTGAGGAAGATCAGCCCTGAGCTAACATTCCCATGCCAATCCTCCTCTTTTTGCTGAGGAAGACCGGCCTTGAGCTAACATCTATTGCCAATCCGCCTCCTTTTTTTCCCTTTTTCTCCCCAAAGCCCCAGTAGATAGTTGTATGTCATAGTTGCACATCCTTCTCGTTGCTGTATGTGGGACGTGGCCTCAGCATGGCCGGAGAAGCCGTGCGTTGGTGCACGCCCGGGATCTGAACCCGGGCCGCCAGCAGCGGAGCGCATGCACTTAACCACTAAGCCACGGGCCCGGCCCCCTTTTTTTTTTTAAACCCAATTTTACATATATTTTTCTCCTTGCCAGGAGAACAGCACAGTGAAATTGTTTCCATTCAACTCTTTTATTCACTGATGAGGGCCACGTTGTAAATTCTGAGCAATTTCAGATAGTTTTCTCTTCCTTGTGGATTGCTACAACCTTTGTGTTAGTGCTTCCAAGGTTTTCCGTAGACTCGGCCTCATTTCTCTCTCTCTACTCTCTTTCTGACTTTACTTGCCTAAGGTCTGTAAGGCCTAGTTAGCTCTGACTATTGTCCCCTTTAAAGGCTGCCTGCCCAGAGCTGGAAGAGGCCAGTATTCCTGAAATGGAGATGTGAGTGCAGATGAGGGTTAACAGTGTTGGTGTGGAGAGATCACAGTTTAGGATGTTCTGAAGGCAATGAGGATTCTGGCTAAGAGTTCGTTGTTATCTTAATGATAATGCCAGATGCTGGACTTGGAATACATGCAGTCAGTCTTACAGTCTTAAAGAGTGGGCTCATCCTTAGAGCAGCATTTAGCCTGGAGAACATCTGAGAAGCAAGCAGAGCACAATGGAGCAAGGAGGGCAGGCATGGGAATGTTATTGGTTCAGGGCATGTTTGACTTGTAATTGATAACGACCTGACATGCCTAGGAGGAGGAAATATCTCAGTAGAAAGGTGCCGGGAGACCAGAGTGTCTTTTATGAGCAGAGGGATCCTTATTTGGGGGTGTAGCCTTTGTTTTTTAGAGTGCTTGTGGCATGAGACCCAGTCACAGTTGAGAGTGAGGTCTCGCCTCATCTAATAAGTACACTTGAGAGTCAGGTGTTTGCCACCAATGCCTGTTTCCCAGCCTGCAGTGCCCCAGGATATACTGTGAAGCTGCCTGATGACAAATGACAAGCGCCCAAGCATTTCCCAGACAGAAGTCACTTTTTTGCACAGAGCTCTTGCTTTCGATTTGTTGGTCGAGTGGAGTTTTAAAAAAACCATATTGTGTGGGCCAGTCCCAGTGGCCCCCGTGGTTAAGTTCAGTGCACTCCGCTTCGACAGCCTGGGTTCAGTTCCCTGGGCTTGGACCTACACCAGTTGTCAGTCGCCATGCTGTGGCGGCAGCTCATGTACAGGAGGAGGAAGATTGGCAACAGATGTTAGCTCAGGGCAAATCTTCCTCAGCAAGAAAAAAAAAAAAAGTATTGTATAAATTTGCAGGCATATAAAAAATATCTTTATGTACTCTTCATTGGTTTTCTTTTTGACTGAATTTACTCTGAAAACTACTGGCAGTATTTTCCAGAAGATTTTAAATGTCAAATAAAATTTTTCTTTGTTTTCTTTTATTTCAACCAGAAATGTTGTCTGTCTAAGAAATTGACAGGTCTTGGATGGATTTTTGCCCTTTTATTTTTTTATTTTTTATTTTTTTTAAAGATTTTATTTATTTATTTTTCCCCCCAAAGCCCCAGCAGATAGTTGTATGTCATAGCTGCACAACCTTCTAGTTGCTGAATGTGGGACGCGGCCTCAGCATGGCCGGAGAAGTGGTGCGTCAGTGCACGCCCGGGATCCGAACCCGGGCCGCCAGCAGCGGAGCGCACGCACTTAACCGCTAAGCCACGGGGCCGGCCCTGATTTTTGCCCTTTTAAATTCAAGGGAATAGAATAAGTTACCAGTGAACTGTTACTGAAAAGCAGAGTGTTAGACCAAAGTGCCTTGAGGTTCTGTATGTCAGAATTTGAATTTTACTATCCTGTAGTACCTACCTGTCTCCAGACCTGAGATAACTGAGTTTGCCATATCAGACTAGCCTTGGATAGTGACTTTCCTGCCTGCTTAGGAGACTGGGAATACCTGCATCACAATGGACAGGCCTCAGATGTGTGCTGTGTCACCTGTGTGGTGGAAGAGAGTGCCCTTGGCTCTGACGAGTCTCACTTAATGAGTTGCCTGAGTTCTTGGACTCTTTGCAGCATGAGGATGAGGCTCTGTGAAGCAAATCCTCTTCAGGATTAGAGAGGGTATATTTCCTTATGGGGAGGTGAGAGGCCAGGGAGCCTTCTTACCCTCTCCCTTGCTGTGACCTCAGAATGTGGAGCAGAACTTGGTTCCTAATGTCCGTTTAGACCCCTGGATAGTTTCCTGACGTCTGCCCACTGCTGATATGGGTACAGGATCACTCCTTATCTCTGCTGCCACATTTCACTTTCTTCTCACAAGGAACCCTGGTTGACATCAGATCCCATGAGGCTGGGCACTGTGCCAGAAGAGCCCATCTTAATTATTTGCTGTATTCTAAAAATAACCCCAGTCTACAAGGAATATCACAGTTGTATGTATTTGAAACAATGCAGAATGATTCACTTCCTTCTACTTGTTCTTGTACGGAATTTAATATAACATTGATATGAATTTAAGATTTAGGGCAGTTAGCCCTTGAATTAATCAATCTGAAAGGAATAAATCTAAAATAAGATGCTGTGAAAGATGTTGAAACATGAGTTTGAAACAGAGGGATTACTCACATTTGGTAAATTTGAGGAAACAAAAGTAATTCCCTTTGAATAGCATATTGAAACCAAATTGCCATTTTCCTATTCTAGTGTACTTAACAGCCAGCTGTTTAATTTAGGCCAAGTATTTTTGGAGAAATTCATCTCTTAGTGCCATTTTTCTGTGTCTTTCGCTGGTAACTCTTAAAATTCAGGGAAGCTTATGATTTGTAAATCAAACCAGGATGCCCTGAAGATCAAGCTTGTGGTTTATCCTACTGAAATATTCAGTATATGTCCGTGTGGACAAACGAGGCAGGAAAACCAATTAATTTCTTGACTCTCACTTAAATAAAATTTATCTTGAAGTAGCATTAAAATAGGCTTTTTGCAATTTATTTTAAGTAACTGAATGTGGAGAACCTTTATTTATTGATAAGAGACCTAAGGCATTAAATAGGGCCTGCTTTTTTTTTTCTTTTTTTTTTTCTGGTGAGGAAAATTGGCCCTGAGCTAACATCCATTGCCAATCCTCCTCTTTTTGCTTGAGGAAGATTGTCCCAGAGCTAACATCTGTGCCCTTCTTCCTCTATTTTGTATGTGGGACACCACCACAGCATGGCTTGATGAGTGGTGTGTAGGTCCGCGCCTGGGATCTGAACCCAAGAACCCCGGGCTGCCGAAGGAGAGCGAGCGGACTTAACCACTACATCACTGGGCCAGCCCCAGGGCTTGCTTTCTGCAAAAAGTCAGTAGCGTTGTTTCTGCTTCTCTCTCCCAGATCAAGCACTGCGCCTAGCAGAAATTTTACTACCTCTCCAAAATCATCAGCAAGTCTCTATTCCTCAGTGTCTGCCTCTCCCATTGCAAATGGTGATAGCACTAACACCTCTGGGATGCACAGTTCCGGTGTCAGCAGGGGGTAAGAGCAGGCTCTTTCACTTTGCTTCCCTTCCCTCTTAGTCCTTTCCCAGGCTGTACCTGGAGAGCTCCTCTGCTGCTACACTAAGCATTAGTGGGATTAGCGTTCCCCATGGGAACTTGCTGCATGTGGTTTCTCACTCCATTTCGTACCCACAGTAAAGTGTGCCTCCCAGTTCTGCCTTAGGTTGCTTGACCTCCTACTAGCTGGTGTTTTCCCTACAGCCTAAGTCATTGGTGGTCGTGGGGGTCACTTCATTTGTCTGTGAAGGGATGGGCTGGCTGTATGACAGAATAGCTATAAGGGGATGATTCTCAGCTGAGGGAGAGCCCTGCCTGTTGCCCCTCTGGAGGGCTGTGATCCTTTCTCCAAACATTTCAGGATTACTTGCCACACAGCACAGAGTGGAAGAGGAGGGTGAGGTGAGAGAGTGTGCATGAACACTCAGGCACAGTCAAGACTGAGTGTAGTCAGGTGGGTGGTGGCAAGTGCAAGCTCTTGATCTTAGTAACCACAGTGTTCTTCCCTGAGGTCACCTGGCAGTTACCCTTCTGGAGGGATACAAAATTAGCATTTGCCAAAGCCTGAGAGTGGAGAATTCAAATAGCATTTCTCCCCTTAAGGATGTGCTTATCACCTGCTATCATGTCAAATCAAGGGCAGGGGTAGGGGTTGGCCAGAGGGCTGGAGAGGGGAGAGAACTTGTGTCATGGGGTTATTACCAGACAAGAATTCTAGAGGCCTCAGAGGAGCCCCAAAAGGCACCCTGAGGACATGTATGCAGCATCTTGCTTTTATTGCTGACGTGGGTTGTGTTTTCCAGTGGATCTGGCTTCTCTGCTTCATATAATTGTCAGGAGTCCCTGTCATCTCACATACAACCTGGGCTCTGCGGACTTGGAAACCTGGGGAACACCTGCTTCATGAACTCCGCTTTGCAGGTAGAGGGGAGAGCTGCCATCTCAATAACACTCTGTCTTCACAGTACTTGAGGCTTGGGTGAGAGTGGCTTGCTAAGGTGTTGGGAGGATCCTCTCCCAGGGGTCCCTACCTACCCCTTGTCAATACTTCAGGGTACCTCTTACTGGTCACTACAGAATGGCTTCATCAGTGTTTTTGGCCCCAAAATGTCTTCTTAATCAGTTCTAGGTTTGGTTTTACAGTAAAAATATTTTGACTTTTGTTGACCATTAGGGAATGATATTCCCAGAAAGTATCGGAGTAGCTGCCTGGTTAGTCTCTGATGGGATGAGAACTCACAGCAGCTGGTGCCAAGCTAAATTATGCCTAGGTTAAGGTTGACCATCTTTTCACCAATGATAGCTGTCTTTCACTTCATGTCCCTGACTGGAGAAAATCCTAAAATCCTCCCTTTGAAACTTCATTTATTCATTCACCAAATATTTATTGGGCACATACTGTATTACAGTACTGTGATGGATATGGGCTAGAGTTAGGGTCCAGCTACAGAATTAGGAGGGCGCAGTCCCCGAGACTGCCTTCACTTCTGACACCAACTGCAAGTTTGGGGGTCTCCAAGACCACCCTCAGTTTCAATAATTTGCTAGAAGGACTCACAGACTCACTTAAAACTATCATACTCACAGTTATGATTTATTATAGGGAAAGGATGCAAATTAAAATTAGCCAAGGGAAGAAGTAAACAGGGCAAAGTCCAGGAGGGTCCTCATTGCAGAGCTTCTGTTGTCCTCTCCCTGTGGAGTCAGGATGCATTACTCTTCTGGCATTGATGTGTATGTAACAATAGGCATGGAGTGTTGCTGACCATGAAAGTTGCTGACCATGGAGTGAGCATGACCATGCTCACCCAGGCTTTGTTGTCCAGAATTTTTATTGGGGCTTTATTAAATGGCATGATTGATTGATCGCCCAGATGGTTAAACTCAGTCTCCAGGTAGATTGATACCATGTGACCCAATGCCCCTACCCTAAGTCACATTGTTGGTCTTTTTGAAGTGGCTAGCCCTCGTCTTAAGACTATATAACTGTGGCCAGCCCTCACCCTAAATCACAGTGTTAGACTTTTCAGTACGACTGAAGGCCCCTGGGCAAACAGAGATACTTCCGTGAGGGATAACATTCCAAGAGTCAACAGACTACTTTCCAGAAGCCAAGGACAAAAGCCAGACCTTGTCTTTGGACAAGGCCAAATTCTTTACTATACATGAGGATTCAGTGGTGAGCAAATCAGACATGGTTTTTGTCCTTACAAGACTTACAACTAACTTTGAAGTTTCTTGGACTATAAGAGAAAAGATAAAAAGATTTGTTAAAAAATTTGGTAACTCTTGGGTTTGGAAATTATTTTTCTCCACTGTGGTGAGATGGGAGTAAGCCTTGTACTAAATAAAGAAAAGAGCCTTGAGATTTGGCTTTTCATGGGGAAGTGTTCTCAACTCTTTGTACCCTCAATTCTCCTCAAATGTTGAATGAAGATAATAATAATGAGGAGGTTTGTAGCTCTAGATATAAGTATTAGGAAACAAAGAAAGGTTAAATTCCATAATTTAAGTTTCCATCTCATGATGCTAGGTAAAGAACAAATGAAACCCAAAGGAAGTAGAAGGAGGGAAATAATAGAGATAAGAACAGAAATTAATGAAATACAAAGCAGATTTACAGTACAACCAAATTTGATTCTTTGAAAAAAACTAATAAAAGTGAATAAACTCCTAGGGAAACTGATCAGGAAGTAAAGAGAGAAGATATAGATGACTAATGCCAGAAATGAAAAAAGGAACATTGCTATAGATCCTACAGGCATTAAAAAGATTATTTGAGGATAGTAGAATATCTTTATGCCATTAAATTAGACAATTTAGATAACAAGTTTTGGACAAGATGCTTTGAAAAGTGCAATTTATCAAACTTACACAGGAAGAAGTAGAAAATATGAATAGTCTTGTATTTGTTAAAGAAATTGATTCGGTAAAATTAGAAGCTTTACACCAAAGAAAATTCTGTTCTGAATGGCTTTATTGGTGAATGTATTCAGAGATTTAAGGCAGAAATGATACCAATCATATAAACTCTTTCAGGAAGTAGAAAAAGGGAGAACTTTCCAAATCATTTTACAAGGCAGTATACTCTGATACCAAAATCTGACAAGGAATTTTAAAAAAGGAAAATTTTAAACTATTGTATCTCATAACTATAGACAAATAACGTATATAAAATTTTAGCAAATCAAATTCAAGGATATCTAAATAAAAGTGGTAGCACAAAATGGGGTTTGTGCCAAGAGAACTAGATTGTTTTGACCTGAAAAATTAATCAATGTCATTTAACGTAGTAACAGAATAAAGGAGAAGACCATATGATCGTCTTAGTAGATATAGAAAAAGCATTTGATCAAGTGCAATACCCACCTTCATTTTTTTTTTTTTAATTTTTATTTATTTATTTTTTTCCCCCAAAAGCCCCAGTAGATAGTTGTATGTCATAGCTGCACATCCCTCTAGTTGCTGTATGTGGGACATGGCCTCAGCATGGCCGGAGAAGCAGTGTGTCGGTGCGCGCCCGGGATCCAAACCCGGGCCACCAGCAGCGGAGCGCGCACACTTAACCACTAAGCCACGGGGCCGGCCCCCACCTTCATTTTTGAATTTGAAGAGTTAAAATTAGTATACACAGGTACAATGATATCATTCGTTGTTTTTTCTACCACCTTATTATCCTGATTTTTTTCCCCCATAATGTTTTGGCTCTAGTAAAACATTTTGCT